TCCTAAACAGTTGAATCATGATTTAGTTTCATCTCAAAATTTCAGGTAACAGTTGTAACATTATATTTTAATTTCTGCTGCTGAATGAAAAGCAATTGGTTTATAAGTTTGAATTCAACAAAATGGGATACAAATTTTAGTGCAATGATTTTAGCACATGGCCTAGAAGCCTAACCTAGAATAAAAAAAAATGTTGATTAATATCTGATTTTAATCACATACACTTAGAAATGCCATAAGCAATTTGTACTCTAGAAACTTTTAAAGTTCGATTACAGTCCTTATAAAACTTTGGCATGCCAGGAGCACCTACATTACAAACTAATAATATAAAAGTTTTGCTTCAGACTACAATTCAAGTATTTAGCTATATAAAATTGTGGCACAAACTCAAACATTTGATAAGTCCCCCTTTTTGTGAGGGGAAAAAAAGCAAGAAAAAAAAAAAAAAAGCAAAGTAACGTTTAAAATTACCACCCAACTCGCAAGTGGGAAGGGTGACTAGAGTAAAATTATTTCAATAACTTTAAATAAAAAAAAAAGTAGGTTATATTTGCCACGAGAGTCAAATTTTACCAAAAATATCTACTTGTCCGCCTGCTATATTTTACAACTTTAAACTCCACACGGTTCTCCTCTCCCCGCCACCTCCGTTACATACCGGAGCTGATCTATTTTGCACTTTAGAATTTGTACTAGATAATAATGGGAAAAAAATTAAATTATTAATATATGCTACAATATATCATAAAAGAAATGTCACTTTAGAAAGACGTCGGTTGAAAAGAAAGGGAAAATACTTCAAACGGATTATTTATAGTTATACGATCGCACACAGTCATTATTAGAAGGAACAGATGAAAGAAAACCAGATTTACTGCTACGGGAACAAATAAGCAAACTCTTCTCTTCCCAACGACAACCGGATAAGATGTGTACTGTAAACCAATGCCATCAACATGTTGGGAGTGGCCAGGGATGGAATCGAATAAAATGCTACTACTCAGCATACATTCCAAAAAGTTACCTTAAAAAAAAAAAAAAAAGGAAAAAAAAAAAGGAAAGAACATGAATGAGAGGAGGGGAGAGAAGAGACCATTTTGATTTTTCAATAACTGAGATTTTAAAAGCCTCGATCACAATTTTAAAGAGAAAACAAATTCAGTAAGATTCAGATTTTTTTTTTTACAGTAAAAATATATTTAATTTTAAAGAGAAAAGATATAAAGGAAGAAAAGACCCATGTGGGCAGAAATGAGATGACAACACCCTTAGTAGCGCGGGCACCAAGCCACTCCTTTTGGTAAAAAAAAAAAAAAAAAAAAAAAAAAAAAAAAAGGTGTTCGAGACTCAAAGAAAGAGATCGAATCAAAATTAAAGCAGGAGAATCAGGCACGTGAGTTAAGTTAAAAAAAAAAAAAAATTTATAATAAAATGATCATCTTTCGTCTATGTTAAAAAGGTGCTCAGCGTCGGGTATCCAAAAAAGGTCAATGTAAAGGGAAGTAATTAATAAAAGCCTGACAACATACACAGATTATCTCCCCTTGAGAGCTTTCAGTGGCGCCAAGAAAGAGGGAAGAGGAGGGAAACAACAAAGTCTAAAAACTCAAAATGAGGAAGAGAGGGAATGCTACTTTAAACACACGATCCTTTATAATTCTTTAGTTATTACTTTATACCAATAAAAAAATATCGTTGTAAAATTTATAAGAACAATTAAATTAATGAAACAGATCTGTCCAATTTTATCTAGATTTTATTTTTAACTTCGACAATTTTACGAGGGAAGGATGTAAAAAAAACAAAAAAAAAAAAACACCCAAAACAGATCAGTATCTTTTACATGTATTTTTATAGAAAAATCCTTTGCTAAGACATGGTCTTTTAACAATAAAAATTATGTAATCATAGCTAGTAGGGGAGAAAATGATGATTTGCTGGGAAATTGAGTACTTTCAAATTATTAAACAAGCGAAGAGATACGAAAATAAAACAAATTTAAGAAAGGCTTAAAAAAAAAAAAAAAATTCAAATCAAGTCTTAGCGAGAAGCGATGCCTTTAAAACTTCAATGGAAAAAAATATCGGGAGGGGGGAATTGCTATTCAACAGAGATTAAAGTGGAGGGAGAAGTAGTAGAGAACGGTTATTTGAGCAAAAATATAACAAACAGCAACTTTAAGAATCTGATTTAACTATAAGTAGTTAGTTAAACTAAAAAAGGAAACTAAAAAGAAATGTGATCAAGGCGGTTAGATGAAAAGAAAGAAAACCTGCATAAAGAATGCACATAATTGTAAAAAATAAAAGTAAAACACTGCCCATTGGAGGGAGACCGTAAAAAAATCAAGAGGGAAGATTAAAAATCCGCCGAAGTTTAGTTGATCGACAGTAAATCACGTTAAAATACTTTAAGAGTACATTAGCAATCCACAAGCCTTTTATTTATTTTTAGTTTTCACTTTCCAGAGGTTAGGGACAAGTTGATTTCAATTAAAAATAAATTTATAAAAATCCTAACCAGAATCGAAGGGAAAGTAAAGACTAGCGGTTGGCTTGTAAAAAAAAAAAAAAAAAAAAACGATCAAAATTCAAAATATTTTGGTCTTTATTTCCATAGTAATAAATTAATCATTGTGCAGTAAAAACTAAGAGTAATTCTGTGTACCAACAGAGAAACAATCGTCAATCTAAGACCTAATTTATTCCTAAAACACGGATTCTTTAAAAACAGTAATTAAAGAAACTGTTCTTAGCAGGAATGATGTAATTAAGTTGTTTTTTTTTTTTTTTTTTAAGTGGTTGGTTACAGGTAGAGAATTAAAATGACATTTGACATAGAAGCCGTCGGGGAAGGTAAAGAAGACTGTTGTTATTCTTGTATCTACAACTGCCAAATAGCAGCAGTGGAGCAAGTGTTTTGGCGGTGGCGGCGGCGGAGGCAGTAGCAGAGGCACCATTTCTACAGAATGACACAGCAACCTTTGCAGACAACTACACACAGATCATAGCAGAATGATAAATGAAGACAAAATAAAAAACATCAAAACATCATTTTGACAATAATCATCAACATTTCAATAAAAAAAAAAAAAAAAATCAAATAAAAGAAAAAGACTATTAAAAAAGAAAAGAAAAAAACCCTCTTTTTTTTTGTTGTTACTACCACTACTATGACTTGTCATGAGTCATAATTATAATAATAAATAATACTAATACACGCACTGAAGCAACTATTAAATGAATTTTCGTTTTTGTCGTAAAGCAAAAAATAAAAACAAACAAAAAACGAAACAATCCGAAATTAGTGGGAATTTTTTTTTCGGACTGAAGAATTAGTAAATAGGAGGGAAACGAGACCAATTTCAGCTGTTTAAAAAAAAATAAATAAATAAATAAAATAAGAGAAAAGGTTGATTCTTATTCCAATGGTGTAATGTACACTACAGTAGTAGTTTTACTAAGATGCTATACAAGCCATTTATGCTTAGCTTAATTAAATGATTAAAAAAAAATGATTGGTTCAACATAATTTTAATAATAATGAAGTTAATATTGTGAATTTAGAAAATGAAATCAATGAAAATACATATTTTGAATAGAAGCAAGCTTAACATTATGTTAATAATAGTAAGAAATTAGGAGTGGTCATGAATCATAGTAGATATATTTATTACAATAATTCCTTTACTTATTACATTCATTAGTCAACCGTGACGTACAAAGAAATGAGAGAATCAACATTTTTTTTAAAGCTTTGAGTGTGGGAGACATTTAAATATCGATGACGACAAGCTCCGACGAAATGAAAAGGGAAAAAAAAAAAAGCTGGTTTTATTATTCGGGCCCCTTTAATATTTATGGATTTTTTTTTTTTTTTTTTTTAAAGAAATTTCTTTTTAATGTTACTGACATAATGATCGTTAATTGTTCAAGAACAGTCATAACATGATTACACAGCTCAGGAGAAAAAAAAAAAAAAATTGTTTTATATTAAATTTCAACATTACACAAAATATGCATTTTTTTTTTTTTTTTTTTTTTTTTTTTTTTTAGGAATTTGCCATTTATGGAAAAAAAGCGTAAAGAAAGTAATTAAAAAAAATTACAACTTAAGGATGAATTAAATTTTTTTAGTATTTTTATGCACCTGCCACGCCCTCATAAGACGATCTGTTCTCTCCCCGCCCGTATAAAAAAATCCTGCAGAAAGATAGAAAGAGGGGTAGAAATAAAGTAAAAAGGTATCTTGTAATAATAATAAATTGCTTCATTTTGATCGTAAAATAATGAAGAGTTGACCTAGTGTAGCGGTTACATTTGATTTACATAAACACAAGGGACCTTTTTTCTTTTTTTTTTTTAAATTTTATTTCCTGCTATAATGAGGGCCCAACTGATATTTTTATGATCATTTTTTTTCTTCTTCTGAATAAGGAAGAAAAATCCCAAGCAGGAAGAAAGAACACCGTATACTCAATCAAGAGAAATTAATAATAGTTGTACTCACAAAATCTGTTATCATCACTTGTCCTACAATGGGGCTAACATTTTACAAGAGGAATAACGGCACACATATTATTGTATTTTGGTTACTTTTATACAGATAACATATATCCATTACAGAACAATACAGCAAAAACGATGAAATTATGAATTAAAGACAATACTACATTAATCCTTATTTTGTCTTTTTTTTTCTTCTTTGCTCGAGTAGCCGTGGCTTCTGATAATGGCTACGATACAGCTCAGCAACAGAAGAAATAATCAACAGCAAAGAATTTAGCTAAACTACTTTTTTTCCTTTTTACTTAACGTGTGTGGAATAATAATAATAATAATTATAGTTCAAAGTAGACTTACTACTACTTACTAATAGTAGTTGTAGTAAGAATTTTCTTTTAGAAACGACAATAAAGCGAGTGTAGACAGGAGAGAGAAAGAGAGAATAGCTTAGAGTAGGAAGGAGAATAGGAAGAAAGAAGTTAGAAGAGAATCTTAGGATTGAGCTTCGGGGGTCGGTTCTCCCCCATCTTGCTGCTCCGACTTTGGCTCGCTTTTCTGCTCAGCAGCTTCTTCGGCCTGGATGTCAGATGTCCACAGGGTGAGGTTATCCCGGAGAAGTTGCATGATGAGCGTGGAATCCTTGTAGCTCTCCTCGCTCAGTGTGTCCAGCTCTGCGATCGCGTCATCGAAGGCTGCTTTGGCTAGCCGACAGGCCCGATCTGGGTTACTAAGGGTCTCGTAGTAGAAAACGGAGAAATTAAGTGCCAGGCCGAGTCGTATCGGGTGGGTTGGTGGTAGCTCAGTAGTGGCTATGTCACTGGCCGCCTTGTATGCCTGAAGACTACATTCGGCAGTCTGCTTCCTATCGGTACCGGTGGCGAATTCGGCCAAGTAGCGGTGGTAGTCACCCTTCATTTTGAAGTAAAACACCTTCGACTCGCCGGTGGTGGCGTTAACCAGCAGCTTTTGATCGAGGACACTAAGAACGTCATTACAGATGTCCTTCAGTTCGATCTCAATCCTTTTCCGATAGTCACGAATCACAGGGACCCGTTGTTCATTGCCTTTTGACTCCTCCTTCTGCTCCATGCTACTGATGATTCGCCAAGAGGCCCGCCGAGCCCCTATCACGTTCTTGTAAGCTACCGACAAAAGATTACGTTCTTCTACCGTTAGCTCCGAACCTTGGTCCGCAACGGTTTTCATACTTTCCACCATTTCCTCATACCTTTCGGCTTGTTCAGCCAATTTGGCCTTGTAAACTAGTTCATCCCTGTCCGCCATTTCTGATCACTGATTCGAGGAATAAATGCGCCTCTCAACGTTTTCTGGTCTCCTTTCTAGTCGCTCTTCAGTGATTATCTCCCCCTGCTTCCTGTGCTCGCCCAATTTACGCGCAAAATTTAATCTCGCGCGTTTTTGCCAAGCAACTCTCTACTGCATAGTTAACGGGCGACTGTTGTTTTTAAATGGCCTTTTCCCACTATATGATAGCAGCAGGAGAAAGTTCCATTCATCGTTTTCGGGTCATAAACAATGGACAAGATATTGTCGTCGAAGTTTTTAATTTTTCTACCCATTCAGGTAGAGGTAAGAAGAAAACTTCAAAACAAGTAGCTGTCGGTTGGGATGCAATTGGTACTCCTCAAAATTTGTCCCTGCCTTCATTTTCTTCTCCACCCAAATGGACATTACTCGATGCCAAAAATATAACAGAAATTAACACTGGCAAAAATATCGTTTGTGCTTTACTTAGTTCTTGCCAAGAAAATCAACTTTCATTTTTTATTGTGACGATCGACTGTGATAACAAGTTAGTTCCTCTTAAGTACATTAAAGTTTGTAAACAAATTTTAGAAGCATCATCATTTCATACTTGCAAACCCCAACTGATAGATGGTCCAGGCTTAATGTGGGTGCACAATACCAATCTCCATGTAGCCACAAGTTCATATGGACCTGTATGTCGTCTTACTTTAAATAGTAAATCCTTGGAAGACCCGAGCGATGAAAAAAGTGTTAAAACTCATCTCTCCATGTTGTTTTATCATCATTTTCAAGGAATGTCACTCGTGGTTGGAACTAGAATAAATGATGACGAAAAGAATAACAACAAATCTTTTGCTGTCATCTTTTCAGTTCCTGTAGATTCTTTTAAAAACGTGGATAATTCTCGAATTATACCAGAACCCTATTTGTCGACTGTCCAACATGTAAAAGTATTGCAGTGTAGCTACACTAACAGGATAGAAAGTGATAAAATTTGTGGACAGAATTATTGTTTAAATATTCGACTTTTAACTGTTACTTCTGAAGGCTACCTGACAGAATTCCACTCCGGGAAGTTGATCAGGTGTCTGTATCTATCAAACATCAATGTTGGAATTTCCCAATTGACAGCTATTCCTACTTTTGAAGATTTATCTTCTTGGTTTCCTGTCATCATAACAAATGAACAAAAAGCTTGCATAATAACTCCACAGCTTACAAAGGTATTACTGAAGTTTTTATTATTTAACTACTAATCATTTTTTGTCTGGTGAGGCAGATTTGAAAACGTCTTGTTTGTATTTGTTTTTGCAATTACGTTTTTTAGTTAACAAAACAAAAAACTAACACATTTTTCAATACATGTTGGTAAATTATCCGATTTAAAAAATGAGGTTCAATTTCGTCAACAAGATTGATTTTAAGTTTTCATTTGCATATTTATTTCAGTTAATTGGAATTCCATTAGGAATTTTTGGTTTGAAAACTTCGCAATGGGTGCTTGCTTTTTAATCTTCTGTAACACTCAGGTAAAAAAAGGGCTATCTCGAAACGAAATGTGAAAGTAAAGTGTCCGTCCTCGCAGTGGCGTTGTACCAGAAACTTTTCATTTTTGTGTAGTTAAGAATCACTACTCGTAGACGATTCCTTTGTTTTGTAGGATGTTGTTATTTGTTTGAGTTTGTGACAGACAAGCTAAGTTTCGTGTTAAATGTTGAAATGGTGAAAACTTCGTTTTACTTTAGGGAGGCATAATAAAATGTTATAAAAACAAATACATGTTTTTATAGGATTTTATTTTTATGCCTTGCTTAACTACACTCAGAAAAATCACATTTGATTCGACTGTGACGGCTATTTTTTTTAGTTTTTTACAAGAGTTATCGTATTTTTTTTATCTATTTTTAGTGAAGTTTTCGGAAGAAAGTTAAAAAATGTGACTCGAACGAAAAAAATTGTCCGTGTTAAAAATGTATTGTGAAAAATCAAACGTTTCAAAAAAAAAAGTGGTTTTTGAAAATTCGTGTTATTTCTTACTGAATTATGACCTATTGTTGGATAGATCAGGAGAATTTGATAGACAAGGACTGTAAATAGCCAACATATTGAAAAAAAAAATCCAGTGTTGCAAATCTTATGCATCAGCTTGATTATGTTAGTCACTTTGATGTGTGGCTTCCTCATAAGCGAAAAGAACTTACTGGACTGTGTTTCTAAGTTTGCTACTTAAAAGTAAGAAATTTTCTGTTTTTGAAAGAAATTATAAGGATGGGATAAGTAAGCTTAACCACTGCTAACAAAGTCATATTGTGTATAGGATTGGAGGAGAATTCTTTATTATGAACTTGTTTTGGAGAACCAGACATTTTATTTTTAATCATTTCGCCCCAAGCAAGGTAATAAAGCCACTATAGTGCAAAGGGTTACTCAATGTGAGAGAATATGAGAAAAAAGAAAACATTACTAAGGTGGGAGAACAATAAAAGTAAACATCTCCTGTTTGGAAAGCAAGAAGCTGGAAGAGAATTCCACAAGTGAGAGAAGAAAAAATTGTCATAGAACTTATAGTTACCATGAAAATATTTATAGAAAAAGCACAGAGAAGCTATGTGATATCAGTGGGGAAGGTGACTGAAGCTGAGATGCCAGGTTGTTTGATTCAAACAAATACTGCTCCGAATTAGACCAACTGAAGACAACAGTAAATGAAAAGCATCCAAAATTAAAAAAGTGTAGTAGGATATTATTCCATCAGGATAATGCTAGATTGCATTTTTTTTTTTTTTCAGGACAAGGTAAAAATTGTTCCAGCTTGGTTGACAAACTATCACATATTACAATCTTTACAGAATTGTTATAATTAAATTTCTCTCGAAAAACTATAAAAGATACCTGTAGCAGTTGGTTTTTGAGAAAGATCTGGGAGGGCGGAATTATGAAGTGGCCTGAAAGATGACAGGAAACAAAAAATGGCAAATGTTATGCTTTTTGATTTGATCAAGTATACACAACATTTCTTTGTTTCTATTGAAATATTTGTTTCTTGAAACAAAGAAAAGAGAACTGAATTGTTAAGTCCTCTTATGTGGCAGTGAATGCTGAAAAATCTCACAGATGAAGAAGAGACTTGAAACAACAGAAATATTCTGTATAAAGGATGCTGAGAATACCATGGACTAAATGTGAGCAACAACAGTTTTAGAGAAAATGGAAACAAAAAGGAAACTTATACTTAACATCAGGAAGAAATAGTTGAAATTTCTAGTGCATGTAATAAAGAGAGATTGGTAAATTTGATACTCACAGGGCAGATTGAATGCAAAAGGAACAGATCACATAACCTACCTGGTGAATGGATGGTGGAGCAGAGTTTGAAAGAGCTCTAAAGGACAGGAAATTGTGGGAAGCCATTATTGCCAATGTCCTAAGGGGACATGGCAAATAGAAAAATTTAATTTTTGAGAAAACTTATCAATTTTGACAGTACCTAGTAATTTGAGATCACGTTTGAATTTTGAACTAAACACTATTCCATCGATGAGAGCAAATTGTTCTCATTATACTTTCCATGCTTAAGGGATATTTTGCATTAGTTAATAATATTCAGCCTTTCTTTCAAGATATTCCCTAAGTATTGAAAGCAAAATAAAAATAATCTATAACTGGACTGAATGAAATATGAAGGTTACTGCATCTGACAGACTGCTGAAGAAGACTGGTAGCTACAATAACTGAAATGTGAGTATAACGATCAAAATTAGTATACTAGTCCAAAGGAAATATAATAATAATTCCAAAGTAATTACGTTGTTCAATAAAATGAATTTCAAATTTTTACTTAATAAATCAAAGCAACTTTTTGGTCAAAGCAATAAACATCTAAACACCAGATGTATTTTTAGTTAAAACCACTCCATGTGATCTTTCTGAGAAAGGAGAGGTTAAAGAAAGTGTGTTTTCAGAAAATTGATTTGTTGGTCTTTCAATATTAAATGTTTTGTAAATGATTAACAGACTTTAGTGAAAAGTTTTAATCATGAGTTAAAATATATCTTCAATAATGGGATCAGAGTTATATGATTGAGGCAATTGGCATAATTATTCATCTTTTTTTTTTTTTTTTTTTTTTTATAAAGAAAATGAACATAAGACAATTCTTTTAAGTTCCTGAATTGATTCACTTTCTAGAATCTAACCTAATAACCAAATATCAGATTTTTTTTTTTTTTTTTAAACACTTCTTGGTTTGGCTGATAACTTTTTGTCAATGGAACTCTTTATGATTCATCACTAAAGGTGCTGTAAAATTGGCCTGTTCCCTGTACTGATCCAGCAAGTACCTGTCTTCTCTGCTATCTTCTGCCTTTACAAGAACCAGAGCCGGACAAAAATGGTGTACTGCCATATATGGGGAAGAGCTATTCAGTCTTTGCTTTCCAATCTCAATATAGTCCAAAAGTGTCTCTGTGTCCTTGTGGGTGACAAATTATTTTGTACCCTACAACTCCTTTCTTACAGATGAGACATTGCGAACGTCTCTCTCTACTCTATCACTATTTCCATGGAAAGATTGAGATGAACTACACTCTTTAGTTCCACCAGTCCTAACCTCCACAGCTAAAACCTGTCATGCAATGCACATTGTAGTGAACCATTCCTTTTGTATTCCATTGATGAGATGTTGGTTCCATTTGAGTAGTTTCTTCCCATGAATTGCTGCCTTGTGGAAGTGACTCCCAAGAGGATGCTTCCCCTGATCACTACAATCTTAAACTGTTCAAGTCTAGGGTTAACTTATCTTCCACACTTATTTGCATAAGCTGTGCCTCTTACTTGACTCAAGTGGCCCTCGGGCTTGTACAGGGTGAACATCATTGTAAAAAAAATCAAAACTGAAATGGTAGTTAGCTATAGTTAAAGCATTGTATTAATGCCTGCTGTTCCAAAAATAGAATGATGGACAGCAATAGGTTATACATAGACACCAGATTTTTTCTGAACTTATAACTGATACT